TTACCGTGGAGAGGAGGGTGGAGGGGGGTTCTCAGTCGCGCAACATGTTACAATATATAATTTGTCAGTCCAAGGGCCAATTCCCAAAAATTACCCAAGGCAATGGACACTATTATATTTGCATATACCAAATGAGTTGGAGTAGCAGTTAACACCCTTGTGTCATATCTGGGAAGCATTTGGTTTGAAAACTGACTGGGCCTGACCGAGGTGTTCCATGGTTTTCCTTAGCCTCTCATCCCCTCCCAAGACACATGCCAGGACATGACCTAGGTTAGGCAACCACTTCTTCCTTGTAATTCCTTTCCACTTCATCATTCATCTATCATACCACCATCTGGCATTATACAAGTAGTTTGCAAAACCGTCATAAAAATAGCACACAAAAAAATACTGGTATAATACTAACCCATGAAGTCAATGTAGTGTCATTATAGAAGCTAAGACATAACAAGGAGAAGAATGTGTACACAGTACATGACATATCTAGCGTTAAGTGGGTTGGTTATGTGAAACAGACGTAAGCAGATAACAGTTCCCAAAATGGCTAAGGAACAAAGCTGGTTGGGGGGGGGGCACATCTCATTATGAAAGGTTCCATTACAGAGATCAGCAGTTACACAGAGTAACAAACATCTGAAGGTCTGCAAAGATGCTACATTAATCACAGGATCACTTTATTGGACATATTTGTCACTCAACTTTCTATTTGAGATAACATTTCAGAGACTGGACTCCATGTATCTGCAATTAGGGACTAGCTCTATCAACTGAGCCCAAGAGACTTGGATTTTTACCTGAGGATGGAGACAGAAACCACTCATCAAAATGCTGTCTCAGACAACAATTATGTTTACAGATAATGTCCAAAAAATTTATCACTGTATTTATATGAAGAGGTTTGTTAAATGAATATCTTTACAACAGTTCTGAATGACAAAGTTCTGATAAAATTAACTAACCTGTAAAACCCTTAGGACATCGGCAAGCAAATGTTGTAACAGGATAAATTGGTCGAAAAAGGACTGTATCGCTGGAAATAAATCCCGATGCATTGCCAAATTTTAGTACTGTGAGACACTCCTCGTAGTTGAGACATGGCTCTCGGACACACAGGTTATCATCAAATGGTAACACCTGCGTAAGAGAACATTCACACACAATACAGAAGTGTAATCATGTAATGCGCTGTATGTGGTATGACTCTACCTGCACACATATGGCGGATCACTGAAACTGTAACAGGTATAGTTGCTACTGACACAGATTTTGCCTGGCAACAGTTGCTACAGGATTCGCAGACACATATAATAACACACAATTTGATGATTCAAGAGTTTTCCAAGCCACAATTTCTATATGACATACATATTTTGCTATATTTTATGTTTCCATTCCAAAAACAGTAATACAAGCAACCAACTGTCTGAGGTTCCAATAACTCATATATAAGACCACTATACATTACAGCCCGTTCACATAATTTTACCAGCCAGTTCTTGCCTGTTTGACTGAGAGAAGCAGTCAAACATGCAAAAACAATTATTCTACAAAACATCAATTCCTGAATATTTGCCCATACAACTAAAATCTTCTCCTGTACAACTGAAAATTCATGTCCAATAAGTAAAAAGGAGGAGGAACTTAGATGACTACAGTACACTACAATATTTATAAAAGCCATGTTTATTTAATTTTCAATGCTTTCAAAGTACACTATTGTTGCTGCTGTCATCATAATTGTTATCACTGCTGTTATTGTTCTTGGCACAGTTCTGGTGATCATCAATGTTGCTTTTGTTGCATAAATGACACTTTAACACTCCCATGCAGTTACCTCATGATTATTTAACACAAGAGGGAAGTTAGAAATAACTTTCTGCTTGGTTATGGGGAAATGATTCCTGAGATTTGACTACTTTTCAAGGAATGCAACCTGATTGAATCTAGTACTCTGTCCATACTCTGTGCTTGCCTGTGTGAGTGTACAGAATCCATTTCTGAGGTGAGGGCACCCACACAGCAGATTGTGCCCCCCACCCATGATAGGATGATCATAAAATTGGAGTGATATGAGAGTAGCACAGGGGATCTAATCACTTAACGTTGATTCTGAATTGGGGGAAGGGGGGAGTGGTATTCTTTACACTACCAAAGTTAGAGAAAAAATGAGCACACAGATCTGACCAGGTATCAAACTCAGAACCGTCTGAATGAGAAACAAGTGTTTTACTCAAAGACTACCACATTCTCTACTTCATAACTGAATACCTCTCCAAAAGGTAAGGGTAAAGCTATCCCTGTAACAGGCTGTGGAAGCCCATAGGGTTGTAAGATGTCAAGGCTTCCACATTTTCTAGACAATCAACTCATAGATGGCAGTAAGATTGTTAGCCTTATGTGCCAGCCTCCCTTTACCCCCAGGAATATTCCTGGTACTCATTTCTGTTAGAGGCTGCATCAACCGCAGGGCCATAGTGCGGCTGGAAGGATTGGGTCAATTATTCTACTATATTTTGTAAATGGTGAAGCTGAAAGCAGGTAAAGTTGTTTCAATTAAAAACTGGATCTATTATCATTTTTCAATTTGAGTTTCACTACTGAATGGGAAATGTTTTACCTTCATAATATTCTCATCTACTCTTGGCCATAAAGTGAATAAATTAATTAATGAAGCAAATCAAAATAATTGGCTGTTACCTGCACAGTTGACAGTCTTGCTAGAATCGCTCTGTTAAGGTACACTCTCTCTTGCAGGAACTGAGGGGAATAAAATTCCTCCCCACTCAAATCTGGCCTTCGAGCAGAGAAACTCACATTCAGTATTTTCGCATTAACGTCGGTGTCATCCTAAAGTTAGAAAACATTAGCACATAGAAAAGGCATACATTATAGAAATATTACTGGTAAATGCCAGACACCATACAAATGAATAATTGAAAATGAAATGAAATCTGTAAAGCACACCTAAGGTTTGGATTATGCTTGCAGTAAGCACTCTTCCTTTGCAGAACTAAATGAATTTTTATATCAGTATTAAGATTTCTTTCAAAACTATAATTTTGCCTGTGGTTCTCTATTGGTGTGAAACTTTGTCTCTGGCATTAATGGAGGAACACAGGCTAAGGCTGGGGCCACATGAGCGCACAAAATGCGTCCGTTGTAATGAACGTACTTTATGATGGACATTGTTGAGGACACCACACAGTTGCAGAATGCAGTGTACAGTTTTCTGTCTGCCATGGAGCCAGGAGAAAGCATAGCATTTGCCTCTCTTGTTTATTTCTACAACGGACATCACAACGTTTGTTACAACGGACGCATTTCGTGCACTCGTGTGGCACCAGCCTAAGGGTGTTCGAGAACAGGGTGTTGAGGAGAATATTTGGACTGAAGAGAGATGAAGTGACAAGAGGCTGGAGAAAACTGCATAATGAGGAGCTTCATAACTTGTACTCTTCTCCAAGTATAATTAGAATGATCAAGTCAAAGAGGATGAGGTGGGCAGGGCATGTAGCACAAATGGGGGAGAACAGTAATGCATATAGGATATTGGAGGGAATGCCAGGTGGACAGAAACCACTGGGAAGGCCAAGGCATAGGTGGGAAGACAATATTAAAATAGATCTTACAGAGATAGGGTGGGATGGTATGAACTGGATTGATCTGGCTCAGGATAGGGACCAGTGGATGGCGCTTGTGAACATGGTAATGAACTGTATGAGAGCAGGTCACTACAGTCTTAAAGCAAGCTTAACACATTGAGGACTGGTCACATGATATCATGATTTTAGGACACGTTAGGTTGTAACACACTATACCTCGCTCTGGCACCACCCAAATGAATGACTACTGTGTAATATTACTCCGGAATGTTTGCTTAGTAGGCAGTAACTTGACCTCGCTGTTTTGGTTCCCCTTCCAAAGGAAAATGATCTTTGACCCTTCAAGCTCTTATGTACCAGGCAGGAAGTTAGTGCAATATGAATCAAGGACAGAAGCGGTTGAAGACCAAGCGATCTCTTGGAGAAAAAGAAATATCTGACTTGTTCTCCGATGATCTATCTGACGTGCCTTGTGAGAGGAGTAGTGAAAGTGATTCAGACAGTGGCAGTGACAGGAGACAACAAATAATTGTGGCCACAGACAATAAAAGTGAAAGTAGCTCCAACAAAAGTGCAGGTAGTAAAACTGCAGGGACAGCCACACGGGGGGGAAAGTAGACAATATGCCTACTTTGGGACAGTTTACTGGAAATTCAGGGGTAAAACAAATTCCATTGGACCCAAGGTGGTGAAACCATATTCAGGAGGAAGGGGGATATTCTTCTTCAGTCCTGGAGGGATACTTGTGTTGTGAATATGATTTCCACAATTCACAATTCGAGCATGGTTGATGTTCAAAGGAGACATGGACAAGTAAAGAAGCCTATTTGTATTTCTGAGTATAATATGTTCATGAAGGGAGTTGATAGAGCCGATCAATACTTGGCCTATTTTCTCTTCCTAGGAAAACAATAAAGTGGACAAAGAAAGTTGCCTTGTGGCTTATAAATAGAATAAGATGTTTATAAGAATGTGCTACAGAGAGCCAGATGGGCATTGCCTATAATATTTTTTACATATATATGAATTTCTTTTTAATTAAAAAATGACGTTTAGAACAACAAACAACCTTTGAAACTAACTGCGCCTGACTTCATTTAGGGTTAATCTGAAGTACTGTGCAAACGCATTTGCTCCCAATCAGCCTTGATGTTTCTAGCAGGTACTTCTGTGGTGGGGATTGGAGGTAAAAGGGTTAAACATAGTTAAATGAAGACTGCATAAAAATGTACATAATCTTGCTCACCTGTATGCTGAAAACAAAAATGTTTTCCTTTGGGCATGGTAAGATGGCTGCCAAGCCTTCAATAAAAAACGTCAGTAGTGGGGACAAGAAGGCCTCCTCAGTCATATCGTCTAGGCGAACAGTTATTGAGTTGAAAAGCATCTCCTCCGTGATCAAACGAACTGTCAATTGCATTAAAGCTTTCACTTCGTTTACACCATCTACAAAAAAAAGAAAAAGTGAACTGAATGGATGACTGTGTGCACCATCTAGTGATAGAAGAAAGAACTATATGCTCAAAGTCCATTCTGATAGAGAAATATTTTATCCTGTCACAGCAAGTTTCTGCCTGTCCAAGTTTGGGCATGGCAGTCTGAATAAAGAACCTGTAAATGACTAACCTTGGATACAGGAGTAAAAGTTCTCAATACATTTGAGCTGGCAAAAAAAAAAAAAAGTTAAATGGCCACTTAATATTCTACTTGAATTATCAGTAGAATTATGTTAGCACGTTAGCATTTCAATCTTAACTCCTTCCATAGTCATTATGGACCCAGTCCACGAGCAACAGAGTGATGCCTCCAAAATTCAGCATTCAAACATCATTTATAATATCAGATTTGTCGTTACCTAACCTACGCAAATCCAAATTTCATAAAATACACAAATAATACTGACTACTAATTTAATATTCCCAGTATCCAAGAAATTCCCTGTTGGTTGCTAATATATCTCTATTACAACCACAGAATTTTGGTCAATTATGCATGAATTTGAACTAGGAACCTATTCCCAAATGTTTTAGAAAAACCACAAAAAGACACATATGAATTCACCTCTGGAATTCCCTTGTAATATCTGTCCTCATCTTCCTTCTAATTACATTTACCACATTCCATCAATTTTTATCATCTAAGAACTGAATGTCATGGATGTCCTGGATGTTTACCTTCTTTCCAGAGAAGCCAATTGCAGAACTAAAACATACTATATCAAGTAAATAATACAAATAATGATAAAACTTAACAAGAATTTGACTGTAACATATAGTGCCATAAAGTTCTGTTATATATCCATTTTCCCCATCAAACTAAAGTATTTATTCTTACTATCCAAAATAGGACAGCTCAGTTAGTACAGAGACTAGGTTAGGTGATGGGCAACCAAGGAATCAAGGTTCAATTCCAGCCAAAGGAAAGATATTTTTCTTCTTCACAGTGTCCAGACTGAGTCTGGGGCTCACCCATTTTATCCAGTTGGTATTGGGGGCTCTTTCCCTGGGGGTAAAATAACCAGGGCAAGAAAGTAACCACTCAGCTGCACATAATGCAAAGATTAAGCTATACATCCACTTGCCATGTCTTCATGATGTGGTGGTTAATTAAGCATGGGGCCAACTTTAAGTTTACGGTTACTATTGCTACAGAATTCTTAACATTATGCACATACCTGTAACAGACACTTCCATTGTCGCCAGCTTTGGAACATTAGTATTGAGTAGAGGTGACAGTGTCATTTCTCCTGAACTTGAATTCAGATGAATAAGGTTGGCATTATTGCCTGAGAGTATTGTGTAGTGTAACTGATCTGACACATCGGCGTCAAATGCAGGGATACGTCCAATCGGCCCAAAAGGAAAGCAGTCACGGAAGTTATTGAACATCACCTATAAGAGACAAACTATGTGATTTCTATTGGCATTCACATGATAGAACAGAAGAAAAAAACAGAAAACATTCAGCCAAGAAGTCGCATTTCTCAAATGACACACAGCCTGGGTAACCCCTGGACACAGGTCAGGCATATATTTTCCTGATGTGTTACCCTGCTCAGTGCTGTTACACACAGCCATGAAAACCACACATATCGGCATAGCAGTAGCTCTCCATACTCATATTCAGGAGGTCCTCCATTAAAATCTCAGCCGGTACATTGGTTATTCTGAAGTTTTCCTCAGTCCCTCAAGCAAATTCCAGGAAAGAGCATCAACTATGCTACAACCACTTCCTTCCAAATCCTTCCCAATTCATCATCTCTCTACCATCCTATCATTCAGCAGCATGTAGTCTGACTAAGAACTAACTTCTTGAAGCTGAGCCCTTCTTCAGAATCCACCAGTCGTGCAGCTACTCAAGGACTTCCCAGCATTTTATGGCACCCGAATGTTGATTACTGTGTCAACAAGAACTCTCCACTGGTCCCTATTTTGAGCCAGATCAATCCAATCCATCCCATCCTATCTCTCTAAGATCCATTTTAATATTGCCCACCCACCTACATCTTGGTCTTCCTAGTGGTCTCTTTCCTTCTGGCTTCCCCACTGATATCATATATGCATTCCGCTTTTCTCCCCATTTGTGCTAAACGCCCTGCCCATCTCATCCTCCTTGATTTGATCATTCTAAGTACACTTGGAGAAGAGTACAAGTTATGAAGCCCCTCATTTTGTAGTTTTCCCCAACCTACTGTCACTTCATCTCTCTTCGGTCCAAATATTCTCCTGAGCATCCTGTTCACAAACACCCTCAGCCTATGTTCCTCCCTTAATTCTTCCTGAATCAAATTTTGACTTGTTATTATTGTTCCCAAACACTTGAACTGTGCAACATTTTCTAAGCATCTCTTAGCTATCTTTGTGTCATGATTTTGCCCTGCATTCTCATGATGAGACAGCAACACACACTTAATTTTCTCTATGTTTAGTTCTGGACCAACCTCTTTACTTGCATCAGTTAAAGTTTGTGTGTTTTTCTTTATGGTATCTACATTATCTCCCACTACATTCACATCAACATCATGGATCAACAGCTGATGTGTCCCATTAACCTTTAAGAGCCGAGCGACTCCATATGGAGTCATGAAAATAAAGTCAAGGGGACGAATGACGCCATATGTCGTCGCGCAGTCCACGCGTGCGGCCGGCTTTTTAAAATCTAATTTTAAGTTATAAATTCTTTTTCTACTTATATGATTTCAGGTCACCAGCTTTATAAGTTGTCTCTGTTCCCACCTGCATCGTCTAACGGAATGTTGGCTTCATGTGGAAATCTTGGAAACATCAGGAAATCCAGAGTCCGACGTCGCACTTCACGCACTTTGTCTGGACGGTTCTTCGTTTCCCACGCGAAAAGCACACACGACACCTCAATTGCGAAGTAGAGGAAGTCGGCCAGTGATGTGGTTTGGCCTCCTATAATCGGTATATCTC